ACTAAATACGTACTAAATACGTACTAAATAAGTGGAACAGAGTTTTTGTCCATTCGAAGGCCCATCAGAGGACTGAGAGACCAAGATAGTTCCTTGATAATTTGACTCGAGGTGACCCCTACAAACACCATACCAACAGTGAAGTTTGGAGGCGGGAACATCATGGTGTGGGGCTGTTTTTCAGCATATGGTACTGGCAAACTTCAAATAATTGAAGGAAGGATGAGTGGAAAAATGTACAGAGACATCAATATATAAAGTATGACATCTAAAGTTATGCCAAATTAAATTAAAGAGATAATTTTGTAGAGAACACATCTCAGAAGACAGGAAAATGTGTACTCACATGATCTGAAGGGAAGGCCTTGTCCTCCATAAGGATTTTGTGCCGCATTGTATTCGGTTTGTAGAAAGAAAGCTGCAGAATGACACTATGAAGTAAGTGAACCTCTTGGAATAGGTTGACTTATACAATAAATCCTGTTTATTTTTAGTTACCAATAGAAGATGTAGATTTACTGTTAGACCGTTCATCAGCGCTACTTCCTCAGTTTTTGCTCCTGCGATGAACCACAAAACCAAATTGCATCACATTCTTGTTTCTCTCCTTTTCAAAACTAAAATATTTCCCACAAATTCTTGATATTTCTGGTAATTAAAAGCATCATAATGCATCAGACACAATTGCATTGTCACTTGAATTTGATCAGTACAACAAAACTGTGTCTCTGAAGTGTAGATTGTGTTCCAAAGTGTAGACTTCCTGTTAAGTTAGTGTAAACAATATACAGTGAGTATTTTCTGTCTGGTTGAGAATTTCTGTCTGCATGTGGGCTTCAGGCTCAATCAAAACAGTCCAGGAAAAAAAAAACAGAAGTTAGCCAAAAATTAATATGGTGATCTAAAACTTACAGTGGTAGTATCTGTAAATGTCTGTAAAACATTTATATCCACATTTGTGAGTAGGAATGCTTTATTACTGTAAAATACAATACTTTTTTGGGTTTATTCATTTTATTTTAAATCATTAAAGGACAGTCTGATTATATACCAGTAACACTGAACAATAATCTAAACTTGAATACATAGTCCATGGGCTAGGGTGGGTCACCGTGCCTCGCCTCTTATCACACACACACAAACACACACACACGATTGTTCTTGAACCCCGTGGGGACCTTCCATTGACTGACTTCCATTCATTTTTTTTTTACTTTATAGCCTAACCCTGACCATATACCTTCTAGGGGCAATATCATGTAAAATCAACTTTTTTGAGTTTTATTTCATGTTATAATGTTATACTCTCATAAAAAACATGCCCAAAGTCTTGCTCTGACTTATTTTTAGGAAGCCATAATGAGGAGCAAAACGACAGGTAGGGACCAGAAACATATTTTGGTACCAGAAACACCCTTGGGATGTGTCTTTAAGCCGAACTTCCTCATGGCAGAGCCCCCCCCCCCCCCCACACACACACACACACCCCGCCCATGACTCCTGCATGCTCTCGGGTGAAAGTGAAACTTAAACTGTCTGCTGAGCTCTCAACAATGAGGCTGGTTTATACTTCTTGTCGGACGTCTTTTAACCCCCGGTGAGTGGAAAAACAGTTGCGCAACCTCCGTCTGCACTCCCGCTGTGATATCCCGGTGATGGCTGTCCTATACATTACACCCAGTCAGCACTCCGAGACACGGAGGATGTGGCGAGGAGCCTGTGATTGGTTCAAAGTTTGTGGGCCTTTTTGTGCTGTGTGACACCGCTACCCGCCACTCGTTTCCAGAGGCCGGTTTTTGTTTCTAAACATGGATAGTTTCGAAGAGAAACTCACCGAGGCGGTCCGAGGTACAACCATCTGTGACTGCATCGCTGCGTGCTGAAGGTGAGGGGAGATCCAGACCTGGATGTGCTTGGGGCCTTGGGCCTCGAGTCGCGTCTGGGGATGATGCAGCGAAATGCCTCAGCCTGTTTCTTCCTCTGTTCAAATTTGGTTTGGATGACGTCAAGCACTTGACCAAACAGTCCTGTAGGCGTTATCGGTTCATCCAAGTAAGCCACTCTGTCCTTGTCGGGAACGTCAGAGAACGTTAGCCACAGGTGCCTCTGCGCCACCACAGTGGAAACCATTCCTTTCCCCAGAGCCAGCGCTGCACAGCGGGACACACGCAGAATGTGGTCTGACACCAGTCTGATCTCGTTCAGCAGGGGTAAAAGAGGGTTTTCCTGCAACATCTGAGCTGCCAGTTCAGCCAAGTCCATGGCCTGGAAAGTCTGAAGCATAGTGAAGGAGCTCAGCGCAAGGGCAGTGTTACCTTGGGCTTTGTAGATCTTCTCCAGCTGTGCCGAAGAGAATCTGCAGACCTTGGAAGGGAACAGGGTGGGCCCGCTCACAACCTGGTTGTGAGACTGAGCCAAATAAGTGGCTAAAGGTGGCTCCATCAGAGGGATGCTCACCAGGCCTGCTTGATCTGCCCCTTCCACATCCAAGTACTGACCCTGTCCAGGCACGAAGGGGCGGATGGACAGCGGTTTGCTCCAGGAAGATGTCAGCTCCGACACAAAGTCCGGGAACATGGGCAGACGGTGCTTCACATCAGCAGACGGTGCTTCACATCAGCCGGTTCAGACGGGAGATAAAACCCTGCGAACCTCGACGGGCCACTGTACCTCCAGTTTAGCAGCAGCTCGGTGGCTCAGGGACCAGAAGGACGAATCCTGGTCCACCTTCGCAGCAGCGGGGGTGGAGTGAGCTGGGTACGGCTCCTCGTCGTCCTCGGACAGACTGAGAACCTCCTGCTCCATTTCCAAAACATCATCCTCCTCCTGGTTTAGATACAGTAGAAACTGGGTCTCGTCGCCCTCTGTCGGGTGAGGCCGCCTCATACTCCATCTGGTCCGCCCAGCCTAGCAGCGGGGGCTTTGACCGCCGAATCCTCATCTTCGTTGGACTGAGCCGTCTGGCTGGATTCAGAGAGCAGCGGGTCTTGTCGGAAAACAGCAGTTTCCCCCAGCATTTTCTCCAAGAATTTCACTCTCCTCTCCAGTGTCGGACGCAAAAGTCCGGCACAGGCCCGGCAGGACTTGGGCTCTAGAAGCACCCGTCGAGCGAGAATGATTCCCAGGCAGGCCTCATGCTGGTCCATCTCATGAAGCTTAAAGACGCACCCCTGAGGACAGAGGCGAACAGAAGACTTCGGTTTCTTCGAAGGTGGTTTTGTGCTCATAACAAATCACAAAACAGATTTTCAGCAGAAAATAAAGGTCACTTAAGTAGTGTATGTGGCAGACACATGAACCAGCAGGTAACGCGGTTAGCACCAGTAAAGCTAGCCTAAGAACCTTTCGGAAGCTAAGCTAACTAGCAGCAGCTATGTGAGCTCAGGTTTAGAGGTGACTATCGCGAGGTGAAGGGCGATAGAACTGAGTAATGATGCTGGTGACTCCGAACTTATAGGGTGAACGTTCAACGTCACCACGTCACCGGTCTAAAGACGTGATTAGAGGTGGCTTCAGCCAGGCACGCGAGGGCACGTTTGTCCTATATACAACTGTGTGTTGTACTGAGTGAAATGACTGAAAAGGAACTGATTCATGCATTTATCATGTCTAGGCTGGACTACTGTAATTCTTCATTATCTGGACATCCAAAAAAACTCTTTAAGAAGTCTTCAGTTAATCCAAAATGCTGCTGCTAGCCTAATGAGAATTGGAAGGAGTGGTCATGTTGTGCACTCGCTCCGGTGAGTTGGAAGAGGTAGGTGGTTACTTTTTAAACTAAAAATGAAGGAATGAGATGCAACCGTCTTTTCTCTCCCACTTTATTCCAAAAAGAACAGCAACACCTCTTTTGCACACGCGCAAATCAGTTCTGTCAAATGCAGTCGATCAAAGAATCATCAAACTCTTAATGAACTGTAAACATTGTACTGTATTTATAATTTTTGTACTAGATTAGCAATACCTTTTTAATGGAATGATCATAACAAAATACATTTTACAGTGTATGAATTAAACTGTCAACCTTTTTAACTTTTTATAACAAGTATTTTTTTAACCTGTCACCAGTGTTGCCAACTTAGCGAGTTAGTCACTAAATCTAGTGACTTTTTAGCCCCGGTGTTTTAAGAGACTTTTAGGAGCTTTGGCGACAGCATTTTCCAAGCACTTTTTTCCTTTCCTCTTCTGTTCCTCCGCAAGCAACGAGCGTGGAGGTGAGCCCCTCCCCCTTCTTAAAGCCGACCGACTCACTGAAGCCTCTTTTGCAGCACCCCAAACCCCTATCTCCAGCCTTGGCTGAAGTCAACTGAGAGGAGAGACCGCTGCAAATGAATCACGCATGCGCAAAGCTGTCACTGCTTCTAAGCGGGGTGTAATATTTATTGTAATGTTTTTCTCTGGTACTGTCTCTCTAAACTAAATCTCTGGACCCAGTTGTGTTTGACTCACTGATCAGTCCCTCCACCTCTTCATCCCTGTGTCTCGATCGTGACATCAAACTGTCTGCAGATTAAATTTAAGATGCCCACAAATTTAATTAATGTGGATCTAAGCATTGAAGTCATAAAATCATTTTTATTTCTTTAAGTTTAATTGCAGTTATAAATATATTTATTGTTTTAATTCACTGTTTTTCTCTTCATCATCTCTCCTATAGCTCACATCACAAATATTGGCAAACATCCAACTATGCAAATTAAGTGATGACATCATCTACCGACTTCTAGCGACTTTTAGGACAGCCAATAGGGACTTTTATTGCTCATGAGTTGGCAACACTGCCTGTCACAATCATATTTCTCCAGTTAAAGCTTCTCTGCACTGGCTCCCTGTCAAATTCAGAATATAATTTAAAATCTTACTTCTAACATACAAAGTTCTCAACAACCAAAGTCCATCTTAAATTAAAGATCTCATTGTTTCATACTTCCCTAACAGAGCACTTCGCTCTCAGACTACAGATTTACTTGTGATTCCTCGAGTTTCTAAAAGTACAATAGGAGGCAGAGCTTTCAGTTATCAAGCTCCTCTCTTGTGGAACCAGATCCAGTTTCTGCCAGGGAGGCTGACACTCTGTCTACTTTTAAAGGCACAGTGTGTAGGATTTTGTCAAGTCTTTTAGCCGAAATTGAGATAATCACTAATGACAGTAATAAAAAACATGTCTAATCATTGCAGACAAAGACCTTGTTTTGTTATTTTTACCTTATAAAAAGCTGTTTATATCTCCATGGTTGCAGGTCGCCACACAGGCAGCCGCCATCTTGCACCGCCATCTTGTCTACGAAAGCTCATGAAGGACAAACTGCGGTGGCGGCGTCAAAACGGTTTTAGTTGTAATACTATAAAAGTAATATTTGTTGTCTGTCATTGTAGCTGGGATAATTTTACTTATTAAGTTATTCCTTTGTTAATTTGACACCCTTTTCTGCAGACCACTTTGCATGGAGGAGCCTTGCCATTTGACTCCTCAAAAATCATGAAAAAAGTATTTTCTTTACATTTTTTGATGGGGTAAAAAAATACATCCTCAACAGTAAGTGAGTTAAGTTCACTATTCTGTGGTTTTCTGTCCTTCAGCAGTCTAAGCCAATAGCAGCCGACCACATTTCCTCACTCTGCTTTTGTCTTTAGCCACTCTCCCTCTATATATTTGTTGTAATTATTTCTATCAATAACATTTTCTTTGTCTCTCTTCCAGAGACAAAGAAAAAAACCAGAGATACACCTGGACCAGTCCTATGTTTGTCTGTGTCTTTTTTTCTGTCCCCACAAACCCAGCCGGTCAAGGCAGATGGCTGCCTGTCCTGAAACTGATTTATAAAGGTAATTTTTTTAATTATTCAAACAAGCAAGCAAAAAATCAGCTTCAGTAATAAAAAAGTAAATAAATAAATTTCTACCAAACAAAATATAAATTCAATCCAAAAATAACTTTCAACCAAAAATTTTTTTTCAAGAGGGCGCTAGAGCGCTGTAATG